GACAAAGGAGAGACGGCAAAGTCCGATTTGTCAAGGAAAACGCGCCTTATTTCATCACTTCAATGACTGAATGACTCATTCGAGAGGGGACTACGTAAAAATGCAAGGATAACCAGATAAACCATTCAATTAAAATGAAACGATTGTTCCATTCGACACGACCCCACGGAAAGTCTGCTTTGTTGATCACGAATTGGCATCCATGAAAGGAGTGATTATGAAACCCTTGAGGCTTAAATGGAAGGAATTCAACAAAAGTCGGACTCAAGAATGGCATTGCATCATAAGTCCACAAGTCTGGTTTTCCACAGGATACTAAAACGCTTACTTATTGTTTGTTAGTAGAAAGAGTTAAAGATATGAATATGTCATAACACAAACCCATTGTTAGAACGTCTTCAGCCTAAAAATCCTCCTGTTTGGTAAGCATTAGTGAACTACACAGATATAGTGTTAACTAAATATTCCATGAGGGCTACTGACAGTTGGAACTAAAAACGCACCATAATGTTGCACGACTCAGTCGACTCCATGTCCAACTGCTCCGGCTCTTGATCGCGGCCAAGATAGGCACTGACTCCAAAGCTCACAAAACTGCGAATAATATGTTGACCCACACCGAGTGTAACCACGGGGATTATGAGTCGCCATACAGGTAGGAGGCGTGAAGTTCGAATGGGACTTGCCCTCAAACCCGCCTTGAGTTTGCCTCCCACGGAACCCATCCGAGAGACAGGGGACGGAATGCTGGGCAGAAGACGCCGCAACCCCTCCAGCAGGCAAGACACCAAGGTTGTCGGTTCTGAGGCTATATCTGACTGCAGTGATAGAATTAACAAAAGAATAAAGCTCTATTTGATGCCATCCATATAACTCTATCAGCCCTGAGGCGATATGCTTTAAAAATGACTTGAAACGATATCCAAGCACCAACTCACCTGGACAAACTCCACCATACTTGCAGCGTAAAAAGGAGTTACAATGATCCAAGAAAGCCTAGATTTCATCATTAAGTTCAGAAGTCTTACAATTTAAGAAGAAAATGAAGCGAAATTTTGGCGGCACTGCTGTAGATGGTAATTTCTCTAAAGAGCCAAAGTTAGTGCAAAAGCAAGGACCAACTTTGGAAGGGGCAGAACCTCAGAGAGACCATTTTCTGAAATCGTCCGAACAACCTTCACCGTTATCGCACCACTTAGCCCTTTCCACAGAGACAACACACCCTGAGGGCATAAAATAATACAATATATGTCGAACCTGCCGCGAAACATAAGTATGAATGATCGGCAGGAGTGAGAAGGGCAGAAAGTGAATGCTCTTGCTCCGACTTCGAACCTAAATGTGGAGTCGACACTTCCTATAGATGTACTTGACACTGATGTCGAAGAACCAGAAAAGGATGGGCGAAAAGCACATCAGTGATAGCGCTAAGAGAGAAGTTAAAGCGTACAATCAATACCTTGACACATTAAGTCCATAACCGACCATTTCCCTAACAGCTGCACAACATAAGTTAGCGCAAAAAACCTACAAGTATTGGTAGATTTGCGCGAAACATCGGCCGGTGCACCTATTTGAGATTCAGGAACTGTGGCAGTATTCAGAGGTTCTCGTGTGGCAATAGGAGGTGATTTCTCCATTTCCTTGAGTTTATTTGACCACATTTTCGACGAAAACACGTATTATAAGTAAAAAGAGCAAGTCCCGTCCACGGAACAGTGCTAAAAACTGATTGGCCAATTGTGTCTACACGTAAAAGCCGCACGAGCCAACGAATAATTCAAATTTAAAACCAAATAGGAACTTCATTAGTTTCGAGTTGGTATTTATTCATAGTTTCCTTTGCCTTTACAAAAATTTAGAAAA